ATTGGCTCCAGGTGATTAATAATGAATTATAAAATATATGTATTTTTTTTCTCAAATAAATATATTTGAATGTATCATCATATATTAAACAAAACAGAAGAAAAACTGAAATGGAAGTTAATTATTTTTATTTTAGGAAGGAGATAGGATAGGTTTAATTCGTAAATCAAATGGAAATCTTCATTATTATATCAATGGATTAGATCAAGGTATAGCTGCTGATAATGTACCAGCTGTTGTTCATGGAGTTGTTGATCTGTATGGCATGACTGTGAAAGTTACAATTGTTGATTCTGATGCATCATCTCCAGATCAATCAAATGATTCTGTGTCAGTTGTTGAAACTTTGAATGAATGTGCAACAGGTATGAAAATAAATTTAAAGCATTAAAAAAGTATGCATAATTTAGTTGAAGATAATTTTTTACTAAGAATAAGATTTTTATTTATTTTTAGATGGTTTGACTGCAGATCCAAATAAATTAACTTTTCATACAAAATGTGGTGAACATGCAGCAGTAATCAATAATGGTAGAACAGCACATCGACCTAAGTAAGCAAGATCTAATAAATAGATTTTTTTTTATTTGTTAGAATTTTGAATTAAATTTCAATTCTTTTTAATCTAGTGCTCTTGAAGATTTTAACAATGCAGTCATTCTCACATCAAGACCTTTAAAAAAGGGAGAGATGTTTGAAGTAGTTATTGAAAAATTAGTAGTGAAATGGGCAGGTTCTATTGAAATTGGTGTAACAACTCATTCCCCGAATGAATTAGAGTTTCCTTCTACTATGACAAATATTCGTTCAGGAACATGGATGATGACTGGAAATGGTATCATGTACAATGGTACAAATATCATTGATGATTATGGCCATAATTTGGATCGATTAAAGGTGAGTAATAAATTTATATTTATATAATACATTTTAAATTTACATTATCTGTTGAAAGACAATGTTGATAAAAGAAATTGCTATATGAATGTTATTAGATGACAAAAATCACAGTTTGATAAGAATTTGGAGCATGAATGAATATAAATGAAAATATAAATAAATGATTTTTATTATCTCCATTATATGAAAATTGGATTAATGCCAATATGCTGGAATGTGAAAAGCATGTTATTAGTTTCAGAACTCAATTATATCATTGACTGAATATTTTATTAGCATTGCCATCATGATTTATTTGCATGAATATATTTGCAAATAGAGAATAAACAAAAGGGAATTCTCTTGGAGATGAAGGTATAGAAATGAGTAGCCTATATACATAAAGTGTAGTTGAAGATTATTTATAAATTAAAAATTTAATTACTTCTAATTATCTAAAAATAAATTTGACATATACTGATTTTTAATTGTTATTTTAGAATTAATTTTTCATAAAACTTTCAAATTCAAAATATTTACTGTTTTCTTTAAAGCAAATTATATTCCTGTTAAATATGAAACATTTAATAAAATATTGATTAAACTTGGAAACACTAATTACTATACAAAATTAAATTAAGTGTTATTTACACTGCCTGATGTGTATCTAAAGTATTTGATATATTGAATCATTATTCAAATGAGATACTAATATAACAATATTATAACCATTTTTTAGAACAAAATTCTTCTGCAGTTAAATATAATATATCTCCTTTTTTATTATTAAATTTAAAATACTATAGATATAAACATGTTAGATACATATTTATTGCAAATAATTCTTGAATGTTCAAAACTTTTAGATTACTTTTAGGCTTTGTTAAGTCTAATTTTAAGTAATTAATATCAAGATTTGATCTAAAAGTAAGTATTGATACTGCTGTCTTGTATGAATATTGTTAATTAGAAATTAATTTTGAATTTAAATAAAGAATTCTTAAAATCACTCTGTAACTGATTTAAATCCAGAACTCTTCCATAACAGACAGACATCTTACAAGTTGTGATATTCAGATCTTGCTTCCAGACATATTAATTTGAATTTATTTTGTAACCTATTCCTATTCTAGTTAATTATAACTGATAAAAAAAATTTAGGAAATTTTTTTCTTTCAGAATTTTGTAAATTATTCAATTAAATTTAAAATTAATTTCTATTTGTTTATATTATTGCAAGACAGAAATACAAGAGTAAGCTGAAAAGTAATGCACACATGCTTGTAAAACACGAACAAAAACAAATAGCAATATCAGGCAAAAAGTACATTAAAATACAGTTCTTAAGCTTCAAAATCATATATTTATTTTTCAACATAGTCAATGTTAAGGCTAACACATTTCTCCCAACGTGTAACAAGTTTTTTCATTTTATCACTGAAAAATTCTTCCGACTTTTCTCGAATCCAGGACTTGACAGCTGCCTTCACCTCATCGTCCGAGGTGTAATGATTACCCTTGAGGTCTCTCCTGAGTAGAGGAAAAAAATAAAAATCGCAAGGCGCAATATCAAGGGAATAAGGAGGGCATGGAATCAGTTCAAACTTCAGGTTTTGCAGAGCATCTCCAGTTGCGTGCTAGGTGTGTGGATGAGTATTGCAAGATTATTGGCTCCAGGTGATTATTTGTTGTGTTAGAGGCAGTCTGGCACCAATAAACTTGCAATATGACAATGCTTGTTCAAACACCTAGTGCGCAACTGGAGATGCTCTGCGAAACCTGAAGTTTGAACTGATTCCATGCCCTCCTTATTCTCTTGATCTTGCGCCTTACGATTTTTATTTTTTTCCTCTACTCAGGAGAGACCTCAAGGGTAATCATTACACCTCGAACGATGAGGTGAAGGCAGCTGTCAAGTCCTGGATTCGAGAAAAGTCGGAAGAATTTTTCAGTGATAAAATGAAAAAACTTGTTACACGTTGGGAGAAATGTGTTAGCCTTAACATTGACTATGTTGAAAAATAAATATATGATTTTGAAGCTTAAGAACTGTATTTTAATGAACTTTTTGCCTGATATTGCTATTTGTTTTTGTTCGTGTTTTACAAGCATGTGTGCATTACAGTAGAACCTCGATTATCCGCCCTAATTGGGGACTGGGGTTGATCGGATAATTGAAAAGTCGGATAACCGAAAAGTATGAAAAAATCCATTATTAGTGTAGTATATTATTATATCCCATGTTATTAGTATATTANACTTCAAGAAAGAACTCAAACTCGCGTACCCCTTATAGCAGAAATTCATATTAATTCATACTAATATTATAAATTCGAAGGTAATTCTGTCTGTCTGTTACCTTTTCACGTCTAAACCGCTGAACAGTTTTAAATAAAATTGGGCACAGAGATAGCTTACATGTTGGAGATGGACATAGGCTACATTTTACTGCGAGAAAATATCTTATTCTCACGAGAAAATTCGATATAATGCGGGAGAAGCTGTGGTTAGACAGCTAGTGATAAATAGAATAATTTTTTTTTTACATTTATTATCTTTAAAATACAATTGTAATAATAATGAAAATAACATAAGATTATTTAATTTTAATGTGACAAATGTGTACGATTTTCTTTGCACAACTTTGTAAAATCTGGTTGCTTTTTGGTCAGCTTCAGTCTCGAGTCATCTTCGAGTCGAAGTTGGTGACGATGTTTAGTTTTCATGTTTGTCATGGCCGAAAATCCTCTCTCGCAGAGGTATGTTGTGCAAAATGGTAGTAAATATTTTTAGTTATAAATAAATGAATTTTTGCATTCGACATCATGTTATAAATTTCCGAATTTTTGACGGTCCACCCATTATTTTTTTTATTTGCTTCATCTCATGCATTTAAATTTTAAATTGACCGATTTTAAATTGCCGCACATACCCCTTCATGCAATTTTGCTTACCCCTGGGGGTATGCGTACCACTAATTGGGAACCACTGGGCTATGCGATATTTACAATAGTGTCGAGATATTATATAAATCCAAGATCAGCACAGCTGTCAAATTGAAAGGTTAACTAAATGAAGTAAAAAGATGTCTCTCCTTGTTAGAGTTTAGGAGCAAAGTGAGGTCAAAGGGCGAAGATCATGTGGTGGTGCCCTCTGCCCTACACGCCAAATTTTTATCGGTCTCACGATTTTACTATACTAGATAATGTTAAAAAAAACCCACTTGTAATGACATAAAATGTCATATTTGAAGCACTCCCAAATTTACAAAATTAGATTACAAATTTTATTTAACATAGAAGAAACTATGTGTTCAGTCCTAAGGTCAGAGTTCACTTTTTAGAATGACTGTGGGTGGTACTCTCTCCTACTTGACTTTGGTGGGGTGAGGTGGCTATTTTGCCTGTTTGTAGAAGAGGGTTGCCATTTTGTATTTTATTTTGACTCGGTTCTCGGTTCCGTGACTACCTACAAGTCTGGATTTTTTTATGTGCAAATGGTTTTGGCACCTAATAATCTGTGCCAAATATCAATTCTCGACATGTACTGTTGACTGGCATTTACTGGCAAGTACAATTTTATAAATAAGACATAGTCTTGTCTTGTCATTGGGCAATAATATGGCTACTATTTAATAATTAATTACTCAGCATTTTGCCAAATAGTTAATTTTTAATTTTGGCATTTCTAAAATTTAATTTGGAATTGGTCATTAAATTCAATAAGAGATGGAAGCATAACTGCCTACCTCTAGTCAAATTAATTAATTTATAATATCTAATTATAGTTGTTACATAGCCCAAGAATTTGGCATATCATTTGGCGTACTTATTATATAACGGGCTATGGTTGTTGATGTTTATACGTAATATGTGTGAACACAAGTTTGGAAAAATGTGTGATCACAAGCGACACTAAGATGCTAACCGAACGAGTGCTAAACACAGACTCATGGAGCATGTGCACAATCTGGGAATTCCCCTCTCCTTGTCACTCATTAAGCGAGTCATTTTTTAGTTTGTTTGCTCGTTATGTGAATTACTCGTTAAGGGAGGTGCTCATTAAGTGCGGTTCCACTGTATATTTGATGATAGAATATTTAAAAATAAAGTTAGTACATGACTACATATATATTGTATTATTGAAACTAAGGCCAAACAATCTGCTGGATTATATTGGGCAATAATATGGCTACTATTTAATAATTAATTATTCAGCATTTTGTCTAAAGGTAGGTGTTAGGTGCCATCTCTTGGCAGATCATTTGGCCTTAAAAATTGGGTTAATAGATGTTTATTTAAACTAGTTGGATCTTAATAGACAGCAAGGCTTGTGCATCTTAATATCTGTTATGAGATTGAATTTTGTTAAATTTTTGTGTACATTTAACCCTTTTGTGGGAAGTTTTGTGAGAGGATATATTGTGGCTATTACACCACATATGCAATATTACTTCATATCCTCTAATGTATGTATGCGTTGCTTAATGCAGGATTCAATTAACATGCAAAATTAATTATAATCCCTTTATATACATGACAGAAGTTTTAATTAATGTGGCTTTAACAGCTGTCTTTACTTAACATAGATATGTTTTTCTCAGCAAATAGAGTTTTGGTGAATTTGCTACTCTGTGCAGAGGACGATTTCCATATAGGTATGTAGTTTAATTACAATACAGTAGAGCATCGTTTATCTGAATCAATTGGGGACTGGGGTTGTTCGGATAACTTATTTTTTGGATAACTGATTATGTACGAAAAAATATATTAACCTATCCTATGTTGAAATTTTTCTCCGTTGCGTGTCACTTCGCATTGAATTTTTGTTGATGTTAAGCTTAATGTAAACTTTTTAAAATAGTAATCATGGCTATTGTATCATTAAAAGTTATTTCTTTATTTTTTACAAACAAAATGAATATATTGAAAAATAAAAACAAAAAATTATACTTTAGAAGTTAATCTAGTATCAAAAACATTTGATTCAGCATGACACACAGTCCTTGGAAAAACACC